TTCTTTCCAGCCTCACTGATGGACATTGGGGGCTTTGAATTGGTGACCATAGAACAAGAATCCTCTTCATGATGTGTGATGTTTGTTAATTCCCCCCCCCCCCGCCTATTATTTCAAGTCCTTTGCAGTGAAGATCAGAGATCCTGAGATAAAGAGGCATCCATCAAATCTCCCTCAAGAACTGTTTTTCAGGAGGATCTGTCAGGAAGTTCTAACTCAGGACACCTCAGGAGGTAAAACAGAAGTCCTTCCACTCCTAGCTTTCTCATCTTCTCATTGTCTTCTCTTCTATAGAACACCTCTTCCTACTTTTTTAATTATGCAGTTTTAAAATTCTGTCTCTCTCACAGGAAAGAGTAGAAAGAAGTTGACTCTTCCTTATGGTGGATCTGAATCAGTGATTGAACCTCCAACTCAGGTAAGAAGAGGAAATTATTGGATTTTTATTCTGTCTTTCTTTCATGAAGTCAAATTGGTATACATAGAATTGTTTCCTTACATTTTAGTCTCTTTTTTGGGGGGGAGGGGGGGGAGTTGTTTTTGTGGTCCTAAGCAATATAGAAGATTCAAGATTAGGAAACATTTTTTGTTAAAGACCAGTATTGAATCTCTTGGTGATAATTATTCTTTCTAGTTTTCAGTAACTAATTTCTTTATAAAATCCTCAAGGGACTAATTGTAATTCTTTGATTAGGAATTGTGCAAGAATGTTGACATTAACTACTCATATAGGAACATTGCCAGTTTTAAAAAGCTTTTTTGCAACCAATAATTATTGTATGAACCAATTAGCAGATCGGGTTAGAAGATAAGGATTATAGAATATAGCACTTAGCAATAGCATTTAGATTTATATATTGCTTCACAGTGTTTTACAGCCCTCTCTAAGTGGTTTACAGAGTCAGCCTATTGCCTGGAATCTGGAACAATCTGGAACCTCATTTTACCCACCTTGGAAGGATGAAAGGCTGTCAACTTTGAGCCTGGTGAGATTTGAACTGCCAAATTGCAGGCAGCTGGCAGTGAACAGAAGTAGTTTGCAGTACTGCGTTCTAACCACTGTGCCACTGTGACTCCTTCTGCAAACACAGGGAGAATTGGAGTCATTGACGGGTGAGGTTTCCAAAGCCCACCTGCCAATTGATTCTTGCCAGACACTGAGAGTCTTTTGATTGATGAATAGATGGACAGATAGAGAAAGGTAGATCAATTCATCCAGTGGAGTTACTTTTCATTGAATAGCACTGAAAGTCCTGCAGTATCAATCAAGTTGATGAAACTTGCCTGAAATATTTCTTCAATCAAAAGTTTTTGCTTTGTCCATTTTCTCACCTAAACCATCCTACCAAGCACAGCCATTTATTTTAGTGCATAGCTTTGCTTTGGGGATTTATAAACAATAGGGCCGTTCTTTTATAATTCCTCCTGGACCTTTTGTGTACTCTTTTTCCCTGTCAGGAGGGCCTTGTCTCCTTCGAGGAGGTGGCTGTGTATTTCTCCGAGGAGGAATGGTGTGAGCTTGATCCTGACCAAAAAGCACTGTATTGGGAAGTCATGATGGAAAATTATAAGAACGTGATCACTCTTGGTAAGGGTTTGCTATTCTCCA